TAAGCCCTAAACCCTAAACCTAAAAATCCAAAACCCTAGACCCAAAGCTCCATGGCTCAAACCTCAGCCGCTTGCCCTGAGCCCCGAAGCCCACACTTCCGATCACCAATACTCTCTTGATGATATAAACTAGCCCCCTAATGTAGGGGCCCAAATAATTNNACCAACATTATTCCCTAGGGTTCCTTCTTCTAATGATACTATGAAGGAGTTATTCTAATTATCACGGCCCCTACATTATGTTAAGTCCTACACGAGCCCTTAAAGGAAACATTCAGCGAACCCCTGAAGGAGCGCTTTCAAGGAACCCTAAACCCTAAACCTTAAACCCCTTAAAGGATCCTCTCATACTGGTGATGATATAAATCCTGCATTACGTAAAGGGCCCTTTACTATGGGAATTATGGTATAATTCCTAATTATGGGAAATGCAGGGTTTATATCATCAACCGTAGGAGTATATAAGCCCCAAAAGGTTCAAGGTTACCTACTCAGCCTCTAAGCCTTTGGCCGGTCAACACATAAAAATAGTGCAAGGAATCCCACACCCCCTACACATACTCAGATACCCCAAAATATGGAACACTTGATTCTATCTTAGCCCATATACTGTAAGGATGCTCTACAGCTTATGGGGTACCATTTTGTAGCTTCTTCTTCAAGGAAACCCTCCCAGTAAAAGGGCATTAGTGTACGGCTGGGCGAGCTAGCTGGAAACATCCTATAAAACATGCAAGCACACCAGTTAAACCCTTTCAAGACGCCGAACAACACCATGTGAAACCCTGAAAACACAGGTACGCGCCGATTCACCTGGTCCATTGCGCCACGGAGGAGCTGTGGCCGCTGATGTGACCCAAAGCCCGCAGCCAAAGTGGAAGTATGAGAAGGTCCTGCGCTTTCGGGTGTAGGGCAGGTCAGGGTTGTTGAGGGTTCAGGGATGGACGCCAAGATCCCATCAATCTTCATGTTACATGGGTTTCATACGGTCATATATGGGCTTTATAATGTTTTCTATGTATATTATAAGATTATATATGTAGTATGTGTTTTATAGGGTCATATATGTATATATGCATGAGAAGGTCCTGCGGTTTAGGGTCTGGGTTGGGTTTAAGGTATCACATGTCGGTTCTACAGTTATGACGCTGTATGATGCTACGTTCACCTTCACTGAACTTTTTTAAAGTTGGCATGAACGCTGCTACTACTTAATTTGTATACCTGTCTTAATTTCTTCCTCTTTCCATCAGTCATCATCATCATCATCATCAACACCATCACCATGTTCATCTTCGTCTTCATGGTACGACCGACTGTTGATGCGGCAACTTCTCTGCGCTTTGCAGCTTTCACGAGGCGTCTCCTTGGGGGGGGCCTCTGAGCCGTACGAAGCAACATGCACACCCTCATAAACACCGTTACACAAGCCCTAAACCCTAAACCTTGAACCTCAACAACCCTGAACCCTAAACCTCAACAACCCTGAACCCTAAACGCTAAACCCTAGCAAATCCCTTTTGACACTTTGTCTGTAAGACTGCGGTCCTGGAAACAGCGGAGGCTCAGGAGCCTTAGATGTCAGAGCCGGTGTCAGCACTTCAAGGATTAGGCTTTAGGGGTTCAGGGTCTAGGGGTTTAGGGGTTCGTGGTTTAAGGTTTAGGGGTTTAGGGGTTTAGGGTTCAGGGGTTTAGGGGTTTAGGGATCATGCGACTGAGCACCTGAACGAGGGTTTCTTAAAGGCTTCAAGGGTTCCTGAATGTTCTATGGAGGTTTAGGGTTTTAAGTGTTGGTGGATCAGGCGACTTCGTCGCTGAAAGAGCTTCTTAAAGGGTTCCTCTATGGGTTCTTCAGGGATTAGAGGTCCGAAGATCATGGGACTTAGTAGCTAAGGCTATGAATAAGGTTACTCTATCTATACTTCCTTATGATCGTACTTGAGGTGCTTCTATCCTTACTTGCTAAGTCCCATGGCCCTCCAAGTAAGCCCCAAAGACCCTTGAACCCAGTAATCTTCAGTTCAAGGATATTGGGGTATACACTTTCTCTATAGGGTTTTGCAGTGTTTTCTTGGGCTTCCTAAAGATAATCCCAGCTTTTTTCTAGGGGCCTTCATCGTATGCTTTTGAGGCATATTCCCCGAACCCTAAACTTTAAACCCTAAACCCCTGAACCCTAAACCCCTAAACCCTAAAATCTCAAACCCCTGAGGCCCTAAACCCCTACACCCTAAACCCTGAAACCTTAAACCCTAAACACTAAACCCTAAACCCTATAAACCCCTACAGCCTTAAATCCTAAACCCTAAACCCTACAAACCCCTACAGCCTTAAATCCTAAACCCCTGAACCCTATAAACCCCTACAGCCGTAAACTCTAAACCCCTGAACCCTATCAACCCCTGAAGCCTTAAATCCTAAACCCTAACCCTATAAACCCCTACAGCCTTAAATCCTAAACCCTAAACCCTAACCCTATAAACCCCTACCGCCTTAAATCCTAAACCCTAAACCCTAAATCCCTAAACCCTAAATCCCTAAACCCTAAACCCTAAACCCTAAACCCTAAATCCCTAAAGGTAGTGGGCTCTCCGGGTAGTGCTTTGGGGACTTTGGGCTTCTTGGGCTCAGAGGTTTGGGGGTTTAGGGCTTTAGGAATTTAGGGTTTAGGGGTTTAGGAATTTAGGAATTCAGGGCTTTAGGGCTTTAGGAATTTAGGGTTTAGGGGTTTAGGAATTTAGGGGTTTAGGGCTTTAGGGGTTTGGGGTTTTGCGGGTTTAGGGCTTTCGGGCTTTAGGGGTTTGGGGGTTTGCGGGTTTAGGGCTTTAGGAATTTGGGGGTTTAGGGGTTTAGCCTGTAGGGGTTTGGGTTTCACGGTCTACGGGTTTAGGAGTTTAGGGTTACGAGACTGCAAACAAAGAGAGCGCTATCTAAACGCCCTCGCTTTGCATTCGGCTTTAGTCTCTTTGGCAGAACTAAACCCTAAACCCCAAACCCTAAACCCCAAACCCTAACTGTTTGGCCCAAGCCGACTGACGAGCAGTTAGAGCCCCCTGTTAAGGGCCTACAAAATCTAAAACCCTGCAGAGATGGCTACAAATTCCTAGAGAGCCGTTATACAACTCTCCCAGGTTCTGAAAAATTGCTCATGCCCTATAAAACCCCCTTTCCCTCTACCCTAAACCCTAAACCCTAAACCCCGGATAATTCGGTGCCGTGTCCTCTTGGTCCAAGAAGCGGCGAAGCAGTGGGAATTTGGAGGGCCAGCAGCTGCAAATGGCTTGGAAAGCCCAAGAAGCACCTGAGAAGCAGAAATATCCCGAACCCTAATACCTTGAAGCCCTACACCATAGGACCTAAGACGCTAAACCCGAAACCCTGAACCCTGAACCCTAAAATCCTAAACCCGAGACAGAGAGGGAGAGAGAGAGAGAGAGACGAGATTTCCCAGCATAGCTCAAGCCAAAGGCCTGAAACCCAAGGTCAGAACAATGGAAACCACACACCTGCAAAACAACCGTCTAAGTCCATACCCGGAACGTCGTAAACCGCCAGATTTTACATCCCGTAAAAGCCATGGTTTCATAATTTGCTAAATGGCAGGTCTAAGCCTTTTTTGGGGTCAGGGCTTAGGGCAAAAACCTTGCAAAACCCTGATAAAACTTGCCCCAAGACCCCTGCTTTAAGGCATTCACAAATCTTCACCCTAAACCCTAAACCCTAATCCCTAATCCCTAAACCCTAATCCCTAAACCCTAAACCTTAAACCCTAAACCCTAAACCCTAATCCCTAAACCCTAAACCCTAAACCTGGCCAAGCTTCAGCTGGCACAGGGATGAGAGAAGCAGAACTTTGTAGGGAAGCCTGGTAATCTTCTGCTCTTCCTCAGCTTGCATGAGGGTTTAGGGTTTAGGGTTCTGCTAGGTCCCTAAACCCGAAAACCCAAAAAGCCCTAAATCCTAAATCCTAAACCCTAACAGACACTTGCATTGTTGGATTGCCAGGTCCCTAAAACCTAAAACCCAAAACACCCTAGACCCTAAATCCTAAACCCTAAACCCTAAATTTAAGTCCTGAGCCCTTAAAAGGGTTTTAGACTCGGCTTTCTTAGTGGGCCTCCGAGGTTTTTACAAGGCTTTCTTCTCTAAACCTTCCTAAACCCTAAGCTTATGGAATCCTTAAAGTTTAGGGTTTAGGGTTTAGGGTTTAGGGTTTAGGGTTTTGGGTTTAAGGGAGGGGGTCCTAAGGGGGGTATATAACCCAATAGTCCCCAATTCTCCCTGGCGCTCCCTAGGTTCCCGAAAGCTCCCTAAGGATCCCTAGGACCCTCCCCGCTTGAACCACCCTCCCTTAAGGTTTAGGGGTTTAGTTGCTTAGGGGTTTAGGGGTTTAAGGTTTAGGGGTTTAGGGTTTAGGGTTTAGGGGTTTAGGGGTTCAGGGGTTTAGGGTTTAGGGCTTCGTAGGCAGGTCTTATGGTGTTGTGCTCGGATCTTTCGGAATGGCCGCCTAGGCCTTTCTTTGAAGGGTTGCTGCTACGTTCCTGTAGAACCCCTTGAATCCCCAAGCATGCGGGCACCATTCTTCTTTCATCTCAGCTTCTACTCAGTCATATTGGGTGAGGAGGGCTGTAACAGCACTGCGGGGCGAATTAGGCAGGGGACTTTAGTAACCCTAAACCCTAAACCTTACATCCAAAACCTTACATCCAAAACCCTCAACCCTAAACCTAACATCCAAAACCCTAAACCTTACATCCAAAACCCTCAACCCTAAACCTAACATCCAAAACCCTAAACCTTACATCCAACACCCTAAACCCTATACCTTACATCCAAAACCCTAAACCCTAAACCTAAACCCTAAACCTTACATCCCAAACCCTAAACCCTAAACCCTAAACTCTGAACGAACCTTACATCCAAAACCCTAAACCTAGACCCTAAACTCTAAACGGTTGAGGGTTTGGGGCTTCTAGGGCTTCGAGCTTAAGGCTTTTGAGGCTTTAAGGCTATCGGCTACTTAAAGTTAAAGGATCAAGGGACGTAGTAACTGGGGTTATAAACAAGGTAACTATACTTACAAGTATCGTGTCCTTGCCTAGGGGGGAGGTGAATTTTCGGCTTGTAGGCATAGTTACCATGTAACCTTTGCCAAAACCCTATTCAAGTCAGTCAGGCCCTCTCTCTAAAAAGTACCGTAATGATTCCTTTCAGCGGGTATCTCAAAAATTCCTTGAAGGGATGCCCTTTAGGGAACCCTAAACCCTAAACC